AAGCCGACGGTGTATTGCAGGAGCTTCGACATCATTGCTGTATTTGCAGGCAGTGGCTGGTTCACTCAGATTACGTCTGCTCGCATTATAAGAAAACACATGTGGCTGCGACCCTGCTATTTGAGTGCACAATGTCCGTATTGCCTGCGTCGGCCCTCCCGGAAGGGTCGGCACAGATGCCCTGTTCTTATTCAGGTACATCTGGCTTTACTGCTTGATGGGCGAGATTCCTCGAGAGGGCCAGGAACTGGCTCCCTCCAGCCGGGAGGAAACCAAGTTCTTTGCGAGCATGTTTCCCAAACCTCATTCTCCCACCCCATCGCTGGAGCCGACAGCCCCCATGGATACCAGGGAACAACCAAAGCGTGGCATTTTAGAAGACTCTTCGGTCAAGGAGGAGGGACAGCAGAAAGCTCACAAGGCAGCAGAGAAGGCCACACCGAAGGCAGAGCCAGCACCAACGATATCCACCACAGCCACCCCGACCGGTTCTCAGGGCTCGCAGACTCAACAGTCCCTACATGCAGCTCCTTCGACGGCGATCACCGATCCACAGTCGAAGGGCAAGAACAAAGGCAAGAAGGACAAGAACAAGGGCAAGGGCAAAGGCCAAAAGAATGGCAGCAACGGTCCCTCGCAGACTTCTTCAAGCAATCAAGACAATCTAGTGTCAGCCATCGGACACCTGTGTCTGCGACACGAAGATGCGATCTCGATCCAACAAGCCAACCAAGGATATATCTTCTTCCTACGAACAGCAGGGCCAGAATCAATCATTCCGCCATTAGCCCGAGTATCGCAAGCATGGAACCTGGCCAAAGAAACCGAGATCCCCCGCTATCCTCTTCGTATCGTTCTTCTGTCAGCCCTCCTGGAAGCCACGATAGAGCGTGCAGAAGCGGCCGTGGCTCCGGAGAAGAAGGGGGAAACGGTGCAGGCGGGACTTGTCACTTGTGATCGACAAAGGCGAAGAGTTGTATTGGCCATACGTCCAGTGGAATCAAGAGCAGCGCACGGAAGAGGTGATCTCCACGGACCAAGCACGGCCATTGGAACATACGCGACTCCTCAGGAAACTGAATCACTTGCGGGACTCCATCACGCCGGAGAACATTTTGAGGTGTCAGGGTCACCACAAGATTGCGGAACAGATGGAAACTGAGGTCTATCGTCTGGTTCTGGAAGTCGAGACGGTGAGGAAGCCCAGAACATTCACGAGTGGCTTCGTCTTCTCGCGAACTGCACGGTTTGGAAGCTGATCGGAGGCCGCTTTCGGAGGGAGCGATTGGGACGCTCGCCGCTGGCGAAGCGTCTGAGCGAGCTTCTGGGGCAGTGAGATCAAGTGCTGATGTGGTTACAGCTTCTTTTCGACTCCCTCGGAACTACAAGGCGCCAGTTATGACATTACAAAATCCACATAATCTTTGTTATGCGAACTCGGTGGCTATCTCGCTTGCCTGGATGGGATATGTATACAACAACTACACTCATGCTGGCGGCAGGTGCTCTGGATGTCTGAGTGTTGTGCGTGGAGCTCGGATGTTACTTCTTACGAACTCTCTGCCGTGGTTGATGATCTTCGCTGACTGGCCTCAGGCTCATGAGCAGCATGACGCTGCGGAATTTCTCACACATTTCCTTGGCAAGGCTACTCCGAGTGCTTTTACTGGTCTGTGGCAATCCCGAGCAGAACATGCGCATGGCATCCATGTTCAGGATCGTGGCTCACTGCTGATTCCGTTGACTCTGGACAGGTTGTGCGTGGATCTTCAGACTTGCATTGACATGTGGGAAGGACAATCGTATGTACACGCTTTGTCTACTTTTGGTCCTGACCATGGCCTCGTCTTGCAGCTACATCGATTTTTGCCTACGGACTCGGGTGCAGGCCGCAGGCAAGGTCTTCACCAAGGTTGCAGTACGTTCAGGTCAACCGGTTGCGGTACCAGTGTTTGAGACTTCAGATTCCACGGTTACTCGCATGGTCAATTGTCGACTGGCATTTGTGATATATCACATTGGACCCACCATGCTCGCTGGTCATTACAAAACTGCAATATGTGTGCCTGGCGAAGTATTGGGGTTTCGTGGTAGCTGGAAATTTGTTATATGTAACGATGCCCAAAAGCCTTATCTGGCCACTGCAAACGATTATGCTGAGATTGAGACTGGCTGCTATCTGCTTGGACTTTATCGTCCTTCTCTTTCGGGCGATGCAGGCTGATCTGTGCTGTGTGGACGGAGTGAGCTGACTCCATCTTCCGCTGAGTGATGCTTTGACACCATTTTCGAGGTGGATAATTGCTTCTCACACATTGAGAGTGATGTTCCATCTATCGTACTTGTGATCATCCTCCAGGGGTTACTTTAAGTCATGTGTGACGGTTCTGCTGCATTCAGGATCCACCTGCGATATCTCGATTTCTCATAATTGGCAACAGCAACAACCTGAGCAGTACAAATCGTGTAACGCAGCCGATGCCCTGATCCTGGTGTTCCTGCTTTCCCCTCTCCTCGTGTCAGCTTAAGTGCTGTTGCCAACGTATCATTGTTCTTTGGCCACGCTGGCCTGATGCACAATCTGTTGCTGAGAGACTTGTAAGTGGCTATGCACTGCCTGGCTTGTGGATCTCGACTTTATAGCATTCTACACTATGGGATTTGCTTTTACTTGATATGCTACATCCTCTTTGCCTTGGCATCGGTGCCACACTGGCAACATCTCATTGTGCTGGCATCGTTGGGAACGCCCATCTCATGTGATGATGTAGGTCACAACTTTTTGCTGCCTTGTTCTCTAAAAGGGCAGACTACAACACTCCGATGTGCAGTTCTGTAGTCGCGTTCCGGTGAGCTCTCTTTGGGCCGTTATGGCTCCATGTATGCTATGCTGCCGATTGACTTGTAAGGTGCCTCATGCTGATGCGTAGCGGTTCACATATTCACCGTCTTCAGCACCTTTAGGTTGGACTTGGTATTTGTCTATTGATGCCTATGTCCTCAGCATGCAGGTAACCACTGGCAGTGCTGTGCTGTATGCTTTCTTTCACATGCGACCGATATGGGCAGTAAGCATGAGCCTTACTGGCCTCTTTTGCAGGTTGTGCTGTTGCTGCTTGGAGTGTGCCGATAAGTCATGGCAGCATTGTTTTATGCGAATGACGTCGTGTAGCAGCGAATCAACATGTCATTGTATTCTTCCCAGCTGCACCATGCATCACCCGTACCCTTGTGCTGCGATGCTCCAAGATTTGTAAAGGCTACGGATGTCACAACTTGATACTCTGTTGGTTTGTGTGTGTCCGCGATACACCTTAGTTGATGCCTATCTGCTGCTTCAGTCATGTGACATCTGTGGTCCTGCATTGCATTTCGAAGCTGGATGTCAACACATCCCTCACTCCTTATCAGCAATATGCCACTAGGGTACTTGCGTGAGCTCAACGGTCAGGCCTTGTTATGTACTCTGCCCTTTCTCCTGTATATGGCACAATGCTTCATGGAGTGAACCTCAGTCTTCTCAGTTTCTTCGAGCTGTACGAAGGTACCGTATGTTATATATTCAATTGGTTGATTGTGATGCGGTTGCTCACCCTTCGCCTACTTTGACAGATGTTTAACACGTGGTGCCTTCAGTCAGCCTGTGTTCGTCCCTTCTCGGGTCTTCGGACCGGGGGACATCGTTGTTGGAGTGCTTGCTTGGTTCTGCGGAACGGCGCACGGCTCTGCTCTCTTTCCGCTAAGGATCACAAAGTGAGCGTTCCTCTTGAACGCCGTGCAATATGCATGTCCTGCGACTCGCTACGTTCGGACACCGAGCAGCGTTGCAAAGTCAAAGTCAAAAGGCTCCTGGGTTGGACTCTCGTTGGGCTCCCTTCATGTTTCCTTTTTGGGCTCCTGGGTTGGACGCGTCGGCCACGGTGAAGGACCTGGGCTCCCATTCAGTTCCCTTCATGTTTCCTTTCTGGGTTCCTGGGTTAGACGGGTGGGCCGCGGCAAAGAACCTGGGCTACCATTGGGTTCCCTTCATGTTTCCTTCCTGGGCTCCTGGGTTGGATGGGTGGGCCGCGGCGAAGGACCTGGGCTCCCATTCCGTTCCCTTCAATTCGTTTTTGGGCTGGGTTGGACGGGTGGGCCGCGGCAAAGAACCTGGGCTATCAGTGGGTTCCGTTCATGTTTCCTTTACGGGGTAAAATCCGCCCTGAACCACACCAGAAAAGCCCTGACCCTGAAGCCCCGAAGCCGAAAACACCCTCAAACCCGGCCGGAAAACAATCCCAATCCCTACAACCACACAACCTCCCTGAAATAAGGACTAGGGTGACCCCAAAGAGGTGGGGAAACCACTCAAGCACAAACAAAAACAAAAAACCCTTGAGCCACGTGTCACGTTGGTACACTTCTCGATGTACCTTAGTGTGTGATCCTTGCGCAGGGCGAGACAATGCCATGCGACCTGATTTGTGCGTGTCTTCTTATGCAGGGGCTTTGCTTGCAAGGCCCCTTGCCTCGCACTCCCCCTGCTGTCGAGACAGCACAGGCATAAGAGCAAAAACTCAGAGGCGCTTTGCATCTGAGCACCCTTGTTCAGGAGAAATCGGGGTAACTGAAGACCACCTAAACCCAAACCATATCCATGCTCCGATGCCCCTTTGGGGCCCAAGTGATCACTGAGTGATCCGTCCCTTGCGTCTGCTCTTCGCGAGGGGTATGCATCATTAGCACAATGCAGCAGGTCAAGCTCATGAATATGTAATGCAGAGTCGCATACTGTACCTCAGAAGCCTGTCCAAATTGATTGAAACATCATGATTGGAAAAGTGTTGTGTGCGAACCGAATAACCCATCATCCACTAACAGGTATAATCAGCCTTTAAACCACGACATCAGACTATAAACACGTTGCCCAACGCGCTGAGACGGAAAACCAGGTGTAGGACCAGATAGCCCAGTTTGGAAAACCATACTGCTTGAAATCATCTTGCGCTTGATTCCCGCAATCACCACCAACTGCGGATCATGCCACTTCGAAACACCGCCGAAACGACCTTGTGGACTGCGACCATGACGAAAACCAATACCAGAAGAAATCCGATATCCGCTCGATCAAACCATCGCGTTGTTAAAGACGTAGTCATCGAAGAAGTCGAAGAAGTTGCTTGCACCAGTTCGTAGCCTTGCAACATAGTAGCCACGAGGATGGCCACGGCGGCGGCCGCTGCACGTGCTGCATCAGAAACCAAATGCGTGCTAGGAGCAGTCGTCATCTGCCACATCTGCTTGAGGTTGACAAAGATTGCTCCGTTCATCAACTTGGTCAGCATATCAGCTAGCATGTGCTCACCTTTCAAGTGTGCCACCACCAGGTACCCACTGTTTAGCAAAGACCGCAAACCGGCTGCTCGGATTCGCAAGTGACGTGTTCGCCATGCGCCAGCGACAACTGAAATGATCGAGCATGCGGAAACGGAATCAATGTATAGCGCTTTGGAAAGGCCATCTTCATTGATCCCCAAAAGCATAGAAACGATAGGCGCGACAGATTGTAGCATAGTTGTTCCTTCCAGGGCAGCGTTGAGCTCAGCTTCCGCTGTGCTCAGTGCTATCGTGGTTTGGCGCTGCGTCATCCACATGACTGGGCTGTCGGCCCATACGACCACAGCTCCACTGTGTGATCTCGCCGTTTCTTCACCTTCACATCCCGCAGCAAACGATGCGTCCGTATAAGCTTCCAAGACTGTGACACTCCTTTTGAAACGAAGCTGTGAATCACCACCCAAAGACATAGGATCCACCTTCGAATACTTTAGGCCCAGTGTGACCGTCCTACTCAAGTAATGAAACACTTCATCTGCCTTTCTTGCAACAAAACGCGGATAGCGAGTACACCACACAGAAAGCTGGCTTGTGCAAAAAGCCAGATCTGCTCTAGACTTCAATGCCAGCCATAACAGCTCTCCTACGGCTGCCTGTGCTTTTCGTAGCGCCTCAACAGACACTTCCTCCGGCTCGTCAGGCGGCGCCTCCTTGCTCATTGGCCCAGCACCACCAATGCCGCCTGCAATCTGCTTTAAACCCCCGTCTTTGCAACAGGTCCCTGACAAAGTCCTCCTGGTTCAAGTAGTACGCGCCATCATTCCAAAAGATTTGGATACCCAGAAATTTCAACGGTTTGTCGTCATGACCTCTTCCGCAGAACTCTGGTTCAGAAGTTTTCCATTCAGCGCGAATCTGTTGGATGGCATCTGTGATTATGGACATACTCCCGGCTAACAAAAAGTCGTCAACGTATAGTCCCAAAGTGCCTTTGACACTCTCTTTGCCGTCGGAGTCCGTCGCGATGAGCAGGTACAAGCTGGGATCAACCTCTGACTTTTTGAACCTCATGTCCAAACCATCCGTCTGCCAACGCATCTGTAAAAGCCTCGTGTCTCTCCACTCCACCCACGCAGCTGGGCTTTCCGCCAAGCCGTACAAAGCTTTTCGCACCACCCACCGCTCGGATGGCGAAGCAAGTCCAAGCTTCACCGCTGCTTTAGGCGGTTGCACAATGATTAGCCGACCCTGCCGCTGAACTTGGCTCATTGGTGCTGTCAGAAAAGCCTTGGATATATCTAGACCAGCTAGAAACCACTCTTCCTCCGCGGCTTGCCTCACTTGACACCTGAAGGTTGTAGAATCCAATCCTGGAGCGTATAGCCCTTGTCTGCGCAGCATCTTGGGACCTTGTTGTTGAACACTTGGGCTTCCTGATAAGAAGTTTCCACATGCACAAATTCTAGCTCGCCGTCGACCTGAACCTTGTTTACGTGTAAACACCACTAAGCTTGGAACATATTCAAGAACGGGTGCATCAGGAAGCTTCGCCATCTCCGCAAGTTGTTGCTCCGTAGTCCGTTCTACGACCTGCAGCTCCGTGATGAGATTGTTAACCTCATCTGACAATGCTTCTCTCCAATCCTCCAGCTCCTGCATGGCTGTTGTGGTAGGAATTGTGCGAGGCTACGATCACCGTACTTCCGCTCCACTGCAGATTGATCCTCCCTAGAGATACCATCATCTTGCACCCACAATTCTCCACCCGTAAACTCGCCAAGAGCACAGATGACATTGTTGCACGAGTAATCGTTGTGACGATCTCTATGGACTCCCACGGCAGTGTTACACGAGAGATAAACCGATGAGAATACCACATCTGGGTTGTGTTCGCGAACAAAGCTCACCAAGTACTTGACGAACATGGGCCTATGTTTTGCAGCATTGGTCACGCCGCACATATGTCCACGAACATACTGTCCCAGAGTCACAGCTTGAATGCGATCCTCATTGCAGTGAATGTCGCCTCTCCGATTCGCACGAAAATCCAACCCCACAGACTCCAAAAGTTCCAAACACTCTTGTGGTGAAAACTTCTTCTGCTCCAACCACTCACGCGCTAACTCCTCACTTTTTGCGATGTCATCAGTGTAACAGGGTTTTGCAATGCACGCACGCGGACTGTCACCCGACGGGATTTCCACCTCCAAGTCTTCCTGCAAAACCTCGCAAGCAACTGGACCTTGGCTTGACCATATAATGACCCAAAGCACCCTGATCACAATGTGCTGCAAGAAGGTTGTACCGAGTCCTGAAAGATCGCACCTCTGGCCATGCGAAAAATGTTGGAGAAGCTAGGCTGGGTTGACCGTCTTCTGCAACATCTTCCCTGCACATAACTGAACAACCAATCTGAGAAAACTTTTGCCCCACAAATTCTGGATCTTGCGGACTCTCCAATGCGAAAAACACACCAGCATGTACCGAAGAGGATTGCTCCAATGACAAAGCTTTTCGTGCCTGAACAGCTGTCTCAAACAGGAATAGCACCTTCAAAAACAGTAGGCCGTCTTTCTTAGCCAGTTCCTCACTTGAATAGCTGAGCCCATCCTTCCAGAAACGCCCCTCACCACACCTCCCTCGTAGCACTGGTGGTCCACCGTCCTCAACACCCCTGAACTGAGCCACAGTCTCACATGGCGGGCCACCTACCACTGCAACGACCTTGCCCTCAATTGCCAGTGAGAGGATGTACGTCCACACGGAAGAAGAATGAAGGTCAGTACGAAAATCCACTTCTAGAACTTCGCCACAACTACTTGGTAAGTGCAATCGCGGACCGCCTGAGTGCAGATGAACGATGACGCGTCTGGTTTTCTTTAATCGCCGTCTTTTGTGACGATTGTAAAGCAACTCCCCCACTCCCGAGGCAGGAAGAAGATCCACAAGCATCGATTCCGGGACATCAGGATAGTACCAACGCAACCAACGCCAGCATGCCTGAATAAAGTCATCTTGATTTCCACTACGCATAGCACCATGAAGACACTCACGTACTGAATGTTCCGTGTCTGCAGATGGACACCCTTGAAGCGCACGTACAGACTGCAACATGTGAGCAACCCCCTTTTGCTCCATTTCATCAATGATTCGTAGAGCAACCGCCTCAGCAATGCAAGGACAACCATTGACCGTCTCAACTTCCAGAGGGCCCAGTATTGGATGCGTAGCCGTACACTTTCCTTTGCGCCAACGAACCTGAAGACCAACCAATTCGCTAGCCTTGCCAATCGGAACCAAAGGATCCACCCGCTCGCTTGTAACTAGAGTACCACCATCCGTGAGCATCATTTCCTTCTTGCCCAAAGCCAAAGCCACAGTCACCCTTTTTGTTGGTAACGGCTCCCCCGGACGCAAGGATCTCAAAGGATGCGAAGCCCCAGAATCAAGCAAACCCACACCTTGTGTACGGTCATGGACCCCATCCACCCGAGCAACATTGAGAAAACCAGATACCACGTCCTCTTCAGATCCAGCGATAGCCTTAGAAGCAGCAGTTCCTTGCAGAAGGTCGTCAATTGAAGACCCTGACCCCCCCCTAGCTGCTGCATCCCCCAACGCCGTTTCCAAGTCCGCAATCATGTCTAAAGCCACCTGGCGATCGATCACAATGCGGCCATCAAGGACTTGGGCTTTCAAGTCACCCTTCTGAGGATGTACAACCGTGCACCGACCGTCAATCACATCAAAGTCCACATGAAGATGCGAATGAGCAAGATGAAAAGGAACTACAGGGCAAACAGTTTCACGAGTAACCAATGTTCCCACCGAATTGATAAGCATGTGCGCGCAACCAGTGGCCAATGCAACTTCAACAGAATCTGTTGGGACAGGTTCGCCTGCCCTCAGCGTCCGAATAGCATGAGAAGCGCAGGTATCCAACAACCCCACATTCTGCCCCACAATGGCCTCATCCACCACAAGCTTTTTGGCTGAAACACCCCCGCTGTTTGCCCCAGACCCTTGCGACAACTTAAGCGACTTCAAGATGTCCAAAGCCTCTGCCATCACGCGTGAATTGTCAGATGCCGTCGAAGAAGAAGCAACATTACCCGCACCAGAACTACCAGTATGTATTGAAGCCTCCTCTGTTGCCGTAGCTGACTTAGCCGTGGCCTTCGCCTTCGCTTTTGCCTTTGCCGTTACCAGTTTATCCATTTGCTCTTTTGTAATCGGAGAATGCGAAAACTTGCACCGATCCCCAAACTGGCAAGACTTGTCCAAATGAAAGCCCCAACATGGAGACTTGCCCCCTGGTCCTGACTCAGATTCCCTCGACTTGCCTTTCCCCTTTCCAGGTTGATCCTGTGCTCCCGCTCCTGACGGCTCAGATGTTGTGGATGTTGATGTTGTAGCTGTCGTGGCGGCGCGAGCGGCTGCTTTCGCCTCAGCCCTCGCCTGAGCCTTTGCAAGCTTAGCCTTCTTTTTTGCATCACCATCATCATCACCAGTACTGTGTAGCAAGAGTTCCAATTCAGCTTGAAGAAAGATGGCTAACTCCCCAACCGTCAAGGATGTTGGTGAATAGTCTAGCCCTTTCCGCTCCCGAAAAGTCGCCACCCGAAATAAAACCGTTGGATGTTTCGAAAGCACTGCAGAAACCATTGTGTCAAGACCTTTCACTAAAAGTGTAGCATCCGGTTCAGCTGCATGTAGTTCTTTCAATCGCGACCTCCATTGCACCCACTGTCTGACTCCCTTGATCGCCTCCTGCACTGAAGTAGCCGAGGTAGGTGACACCAGATAATGCAACATTGTGCCTCTCTCATGGGCGCCGCCCGGTTGGTATACCGTAAGGAGTTTGAAGAGAATCTGGGAAGGGGACATCCGTCTTGTGGCTACAATATCTGTCTTTACAACTTCAGGAATCGCCTGGAGCAAGAGAATTGAAGCCCGTTGTTCCAATAAGATGTGCTGTGGCATGTGCGTACCATACATCTCTAACTCCGCCTGGATGCCAAGCCGCTCTAATGGTGACACCGAGAGCCACTTAGTGTACGCGCGCGAAGCTCGATCAAAGGTGTAGTCCCACCACACATGGCCCGAATCTGTCAAACTAGAAAGTGTAGGCTTGACAATCGCCAACCAATCACCCAAAGCTGTAGGATTTGATGCGCTGTATTCCGATAGAGTTGGCAACGACATGACATGTTTGCCCAGCACCTCTGGACGCTCCACGGTATGCCCCATCCCACTCGCCACCTGCGGAATAGAAGACGACGGACCTGGATGAGGAGAAGCAGCAGGAGTTAAAGCCACAGGAGAAATATCCAAAGTACCGTTGATCACCCGCCACTTGTAAGGAATCCCAGAAATCATGGTGACCCCAGCCGCTGCTTCACTGGATGTGTGATCCCGAGACACCGAAGTTGCAGGAGCAGGACGTCCGGGTGATTGACCAAAGGTTGGAGCATTGTCCGCAACCGAACCCCTAGCACCACTCCCACCCGAACCCCGAGAATCCTGAAAAGGGAAAAACGGCTGTACAGGATGCTTTTGGTTGGCACTACCACTCAGACTACCAACTACTTGCCCCAACGATTGCGACCCGGGGCCCTCAAAGACCTCTGGCCCGATTGAAGAGCTGGCGTTCCTGTGTGGCACATCCACCCTCGCTGCTGACGGTATCGCGCCACTCAGGATCCCCTGCCCCTCCACCGAGCTAGAGATCTTTGGTGGCACCATCAAACCAGGAGTAGATGCACCCACGACTTCATGAGCAGCTAGCGCGCGATCCCTTGCAAAGCTCCCCTCCTCTAACTCCGCCATGTTAAAGATCACCGCCCCAACTGGAATTCGATTCTCATCAACCCACTCCCACTCACCAGCGGCTGTGAAATTCCAAATGGTTCCCAATGCATCCCGATAATACTCCTTTCCTTCAAGAATAACCGCACTAGATTCCAAAGGTCTTTGCACATCCACGTCTGATGGAATGCTTGTCGTCGGAGCCTGCAAACCTGGAGGATGTTGTGGAACAAACTTGCCCAGCGACACTGTCTCTACAGACTTTCCAGAATGTATCGAGCCAAAACTTCTCTCTTCTACTCTCTGCATTCTCTCTGATAGTTGCGCTTGGAATTGCGCTTGGCTTTCCATCATAGTTTGCAACAGAGTTTCCAAGCGGCTCAAGCGTCCCAGTTCCGGTTGGTCTGGAATCAACTCTTCTTCTGTTTTATCTGGTTTAATCGTAGTTGATGAAGAAGGCGTGGCGGCTGGAAGACCGTCCACCGGCTGAACTTCCCTACTCCCGCGATCCAGGGCTGACGAAGGCAACGGTTGTGGAACTGTTGGGCGCCTAACGGGACCATAACTAACTGGATTACCTACTGGAACCGTTACCCCCGCATGCCCAGCAACGCTTGAGTCTTCCAAGGGTGGTAAAGTTGCAGGTCTCATCTGCCGAAGTTGGGATTCTGTCCGCGCTCGCTCACTCCAAAATGCATGTGGTGTGCTTACAGACTGCATTTCATGACTGCGAGCCACTGCGCTTGACTGCATCTCTTGACTGCGAGCGGTCACGCTTGACTGCATCTCATGACTGCGGGCCACTTCACGACCATCTAACAAAGCAGGAGCAGGCCCAGCAGAACGCGAACGACGCATAACAGGATCCATGGCTTAGCACAGGGGGAACCGCGTTTGGGCTCCTAACCTACGGGGTAAAATCCGCCCTGAACCACACCAGAAAAGCCCTGACCCTGAAGCCCCGAAGCCGAAAACACCCTCAAACCCGGCCGGAAAACAATCCCAATCCCTACAACCACACAATCCCTGAAATAAGGACTAGGGTGACCCCAAAGAGGTGGGGAAACCACTCAAGCACAAACAAAAACTTTTAAACCCTTGAGCCACGTGTCACGTTGGTACACTTCTCGATGTACCTTAGTGTGTCATCCTTGCGCAGGGCGAGACAATGCCATGCGACCTGATTTGTGCGTGTCTTCTTATGCAGGGGCTTTGCTTGCAAGGCCCCTTGCCTCGCATCCTTCCTGGGCTCCTGGTTTGGACGGGTGGAAGGACCTGGGCTCCCATTGGGCTCCCCTTTCTGGGCTGCTGGGTTGGACCTGGACTCCCGTTGGGCTCCCTTCATGTTTCCTTGGGCCGCGGCAATCCCGTTTACCTCCCTTCATGTTTCCGTTCTGATGGGTGGGCTGCGGCAAAGGGATTGGGCTGCCAATTGGGCTTCCTTCCTGCTTCCTTTTTGGGCTCCTGCGGGCGGGCCGCAGCAGAGGGCCTGAGCTCCCGCTGGGTTCCCTGAATGTTTCCTTTCTGGGCGCCTGGTCTGCCACAAACGTCTACAGCAGAGGCCAGGTATCCGGTATCCTGTCTTGCAAGGCAGCAATGCTGTAACAGTTGCGGGAAGGATGTGTGTTTTTCCGTGCGTGGTTTCTGCTGCAGCAAGATCCTGTGGACGACGTTCTTCGTTCGGTTTGCGGAAAAATTGCCAATGGTTCCGTGTAAGGAAAATATTTGTTTGCGATGTAAGCCGACTCCTTCGCTTTTCTTTTTGCCCTGTTTGTGCGGCAAAGTTGCCCACCTTTCCCGTGCGACAGCCGACCGATCCGTATACTAATCTCTTTTGTGCTTCTTCCACGAACGTCTACAGCAGAGGCAAGGTATCCTGTCTTGCAAAACGGCAAGGTTGTGACACTAGCGGGAAACTTGCCGCAAGATCCTGTGGACGACGCTCTTCGTTCGGTCTGCTCAAAAATCGTCATTGGTTCCGTGCAAAAGAAGATTTTCGTTCGCCTTAGAAGCCGATAAACCTCTTTGCACTTCTTTTTGCCAAGCTTGCACGGCAAAGTTGCCAATTTGCTCCGTCCGACAGGCGACCGATCCGTATACCAACCTGCTTCGCGCTTCTTCCGCAATCATCTACAGCAAAAGTCAGGTATCCTGTTTTGCAAAACAGCAATGTTGTAACAGTTAGTTGATCGAATACGACGTTCCCTGTCCTTGTATAGGTAACATGTCTGACTGTGTAGCTTAATGTGCCAATGACATGATCTTTGGCTCAAGTAATGAGAAAAGAGGTACGCTTGCAGCTTGTGTTCCTCTTCGGGCTCGGCTTCCCTTTTGGGTTTCCTTGCCTTGCCCGGCGATCCTATCTCAATATCGTTGTGCTGCTGTTGAGGGTCGGATTAACTCATTTGCGGGAAAGTTATGTGTGTGTGTGTGTGTGTTCTCCGTGCGTGGTTTCTGCGGAAGTAAGATCCTGTGGACGAAGTTCTTCGTTCGGTCTGTGGAAAAATTCGTCAGTGGTTCCGTGTAAAGTACGATATTTATTTTGCCATGTAAGCCGACACACCCCTGTGCGGTCTTCTTTTCGCCAAGTTTGCGCGGCAAAGTTCCCACTTTTCCCCGTGCGACAGCCAACCGATCCGTAAACCAACCTCTTTTGTGCTTCTTCCACAAACGTCTACAGCAGAGGCCAGGTATCCGGTATCCTGTCTTGCAAGGCAGCAATGTTGTAACAGTTGCGGGAAGGTTGTGTGTTCTTCGGTGCGTGGTTTCTGCGGCAGCAAGATCCTGTGGACGACGTTCTTTGCTTTGTCTGCGAAAAAATCGTCAATGGTTCCGTGTAAAAGGGAACTTGTGTGTTTCTCCGTGCGTGGTTTCTGCGGCAGCAAGATCCTGTGGACGACGTTCTTCGTTTTGTCGGCGGAAGAACCGTCAACGGTTTCGTGTAAAGAAAGATTTTTGTTTGCGATGTAAGCCGACAAACCCCTTTGCGTTTCTTTTTGCCAAGTTCGCGCGGCAAAGTTCCTACCTTTTCCCGTGTGGCAGCCAACCGATCTGTATACCAACCTCTTTGGTGCTTCTTCCACAGACCTCTACAGCAGAGGCCACATATCCTGTCTCGCAAAACGGCAATGTTGCGTGTTTTTCCCGTGCCTGGTTTCTGCGGCAGCAAGATCCTGTGGATCTTCGTTCGGTCTGCGGACAAAACCGTGAATGGTTCCGTGTAAAGAAAGATTTGTGTTTGCGATGTAAGCCGACAAACCCCTTTGCGTTTCTTTTTGCTAAGTTTGCGCGGCAAAGTTCCTACCTTTTCCCGTGTGGCAGCCAACCGATCTGTATACCAACTTGTTTTGCTCTTCTTCTACAAACGTTTACGGCAGAGGCCACATATCCTGTCTTGCAAAAGCAAAACGGCAATGTTGTGCGTGTTTTTTCCGTGCGTGGTTGCTGCGGCAGCAAGATCCTGTGGATCTTCGTTCGGTCTGCGGACAAAATCGTGAATGGTTCCGTGTAAAAAAAGATTTTTGTTTGCCTTGTAAGCCGACAAACCCATTTGCTCTTCTTTTCGCCATACTTGCGCCGCAAAGTTCACATTTTTTGCCCGTGCGACAGCCAACCGATCCGTATACCAACCTGTTTTGCGCTTCTTCCACAAACGTTTACGGCAGAGGCCACAGATCCTGTCTTGCAAAAGCAAAACGGCAATGTTGTGTGTGTTTTTTCCGTGCCTGGTTTCTGCGGTAGCAAGACTCTATGGATCTTCGTTCGGTCTGCGGAAAAAGTCGTGAATGGTTCCGTGTAAAGAAAGATTTTTGTTTTGTGTTGTAAGCCGACGCACCCCTGTGCGCGCTTCTTTTCGCAAAAATTGCGCAGCAAAGTTCACACTTTTTCCCCGTGCGACAGCCAACCGATCCATATAGCAACCTCTGTTGTGCTTCTTCCGCCAATGTCTACAGTGGAGGCAAGGAATCCTGTTTTGCAAAACGGTAATGTTATGAAAATTGTGGAGAAGTTGCGTTTTTTCTTTGTGCGGTTCCTGCGGCAACAAAATCCTGTGGACAATGTTCTTCGTTCGGTCAGCAGAGAAAACGTGAATGGTTCCGTGTTAAGAGAGCTTTTTGTTTGCCTTGTAAGCCGACAAATCCCTTCCTACCTTTCTTGCCAAACATGCACGGCAAAACATGCACGGCAAAGTTCTCGTTTTCTTCCCGTCCGACAGCCAACCGAAGCGAACACCAAGCTCTTTTGCACTTCGTCCGCGAACGTTTGCAGCAGAGGCCAGGTATCCTGTTTTGCAGCAGCGGCAACAATGTGGCAGTTGCGGGAGAAATGTCCATGTTTTCCGTGCATGGTGTTGCAGCAAGATCCTCTGAACGATGCTCCCTGGACCCTCCCAAAAACCTTCCCACATGCTTGAGTCCCACCACCCACTCTTCTTTCGCAGAAATATATCGCCCAATGCCTACTTGTTCTTCGCAAAATCTGCTGGCGAAGCCAGACTGGGATCAAACACATTCCAACCCGAACCGGTATGATTCGATGCATTCTGTTTGGGGTCTTCGCTGGTGTAATTTATAGAGTGATTTCTGGTGCGCTTTCTCGGAGAATCTCATGAATGAATCTCTTCTGCAGGACATGTGGCTCTGAAGGCAGAGCGATTTTGAGAGTTTTGACCCACCCTCCCACCCTGGGGGGAATGGAGCACCGCTTTTGATGTGCATAGGCCATCGAAGCATATGTTAGTCTCGTGCGGCGTCAGCGGTTGGCTGCGTCGAACGGATCGTGCATTCCCCCGTCGAATGAAAAAGACCGTCCGTCCCAGAGAGCTTGTATTTTTGATAATATCTTATGTGATGAATATGTTTTTTTTTGTATATCTTTGCTGGGACTTGGATTTTGGAATCAACTATATGATTTGATATCCAGATTATATTTGTTAGATTTCACATGAAAGGATTGGCGAAGAAGGATAAGACACAGGGCACTTTAATGTTTCTCTAAGAGTGTAAGATTGGAGTAGATTTCTCTCCAATGTACCAGACAAGCTTGAGGTTCGTAAATTGCGGTCCCGAAGATTTAGGGCGCACGGAGCAGAAAGCTTCGAGCTGAATGATGAGAAGCCAAACTGAAAGGATCATGGGACTTCGTAATTCGGATTATAGATAAAGTAACTGTGCTTATTCGTACTTGTTACTCCAATTCGGGGGCTTGCAACCTTACCTGTTAAGCCTCGATCCTCCAAGTAGTACCCTTAACCCTAAACCCTAAGATCCCTTAAAGGAACCTTATAGATCCTTTTAAGGTGCTCTTGAAGAACCCTAAGTCCCCCGATCCTCCGAGATGGCCCAGAACTCAGCTCCCAGGGTTTGGGGTCCGGGTTTCCAGAGCTTCTGAGGCCGACCCCTGATCTCCGAACCCCGGGCCGGCGGGTTCCTTTTAAAAGGCGTCTTTAAGGGTTATTGTATACTATAAAGGGCTTCAAGGGCTTCGTGATGTTTTATGTGATTCTATTATGTTCTATTTCCATGCTAGGAAAGCCCTACCCTCGTTTAGTCTGTCCCATCCTAAACTGTCCCAGCTTATTCTATCACATCAAATGCGTCATGTGATATGAGAGTATCAAAGGCCGTGATCATTGATGCAATACCTAACATGTCTTGCAGTTGTACAGCCAATCATGTAATATCACGGCATATCATAGAATGCCAATCCATGTTCTATTTCATATGGCACTATATGCATACACTAATATCTGTATGTGTATGTGTATGTGTATCTGTATCTGTAGATGTAGATGTACACGCATATGTATATGCATGTGTATAAGTATATGTATATGCATACCCCCTCAATCCCCCTCACATACTCGGCCGAAGCCAATGGCAGATCCCGAAGTGCAAGCTGCGTCTGAGAAACGCACGCCTGCAGACAACATCCCCAAAGCGCCCGAGCCCCTACCGACGCTGAGCTGGTGGGAACGGTGCTTCGAAGTCATCGCCACTGTGCCAGGACTGCAACGAAGGACGTTTGTTTTTAACAGTGAAAATCTGCGTTCATATCATGTGAGTGATGTATTGTACGTTGTGTACTTATACCATACGCTTTTCACTAGACAAGTAACTTTCCGTAGTAAGGGTGCATGGTAGCTGATCTGGGTTCGCTGTTTACATAGAGGGGCTTGTACCGTCGCCGACATGCTGAACCCTGAACCCTGAGCAAAAGCCCAGGTGATCACGGGCGTTGTCTTCATAGCGAAGCTCCTGCAACCTGTATCGATTTTCATCGGCTCTTGCGCATTCATTTGGATCTGCTGGACCATCCTTCAGTTCTGCAGGCATGGCTCCAGGATTCTGTTCCTGTGGGGAATCCGCGTCGACCAACCCAACTTACGAAAAAGTTTCTTGCTTCCGAGCCTCTTCGCCATCTTTGCCATTATCTTCATCTGCGTGGGCGCTGCTGTGCAGGGCCGAAACATCGTGTTTGACAATTGGCACCTGTGGTTGCTGGAAGACGTTCTGACAGGTGCATTTTGGTGTTTTTGTTGTTGTTCCAAACAGTTACCTAGTAGTAGAGTAGGTAACCTTTAACCTTTTTTGGGTAGTATAGTCCTTTAGTTCCCCATGATACCCGACAAGTAGGATTATGTTCAAGCCCCCCAATTCTTCTCAAAGCGATTGAGGTTGATTTTTGTCGTCTATCCGTTTTACGGTGTCTTGCAGCATGTGATGCTGCAAGCCTTTCTGATGCGAACCTCGGCAATTGTCGGGATATCTGTTTAGACCAGGGATGTCGAAGGTTTCGGATGTAGGGGCCGATTGAACGAATAAAGTGAAAGGGATACTGCGCCAGGACGAAAGTTCGTCGCATCCGGTAGGTCTGCTAACACATACTTGCAATCCCCTTTCCCCCATAGACTCCTTCACGAAGTCGCGATGTCAGGCAAGGACGTCACTAATTCCTCCGTCGGAACAAAAAAACAGTGTATGTTTATTTTGGCATGGAAATTCCTCCGCTAGCCAGGCCAGGTAAAATGCACTTCTTCGTATTCCGAGTCCTCCGCCAAGCAAAGACATCTTAGTGCGACAAAACTTTCATCCTGCTGATGCTCACCCGCGACTAAAAGCGAGTAGGCACCCGTCCATAAAACCTCCTCCGTGTGACACATGCTGGCCTGGCCTGGCCGAACTAGCGGTCTTGGAATTCATGCTGCTCACCCGCGACTAAAAGCGAGTAGGCACCCGTCCCAAAAACCTCCTCCGTGTGACACATGCTGGCCTGGCCTGGCCGAACTAGCGGTCTTGGAATTCATGCTGCTCACCCGCGACTAAAAGCGAGTAGGCACCCGTCCATAAAACCTCCTCCGTGTGACACATGCTGGCCTGGCCTGGCCGAACTAGCGGTCTTGGAATTCATGCTGGTCACCCGCGACTAAAAGCGAGTAGGCACCCGTCCAAAAAACCTCCTCCGTGTGACACAGGCCTGGCCGAACTAGCGGTCTTGGAATTCATGCTGTAGTTTTATTTCTTACCCTCGTTATGATGTCTATAACCAGAGAGCAAGTAGAAACCATGGGATAGTGTGCAGCCATAGTTATGATACTTAGACTTCCACAAATGGGACTATATCCGTGATTTTATAGTACCCACATAGGGCCTACCCTTAGAGGGGCTCGATAGGCTTAAACCCGAACCCCTAAAGCCTAAACCCTAGACCCTAAATTGATTCTACATATGTACATTTAACCATAGGGTACTTCCAAACCGACTCGCCAGGCCAAGAAGCTTTCTCCAGGTTGTGAGGCCATCGGGGTTTTGAACAGTTGCTTGGAGTCCTTCTTCCGGGGGGGTTGTTTAGGGTTCAGACCTTTATCTAGTGTACCATTGCTCCTTATGAAAGCCCTTCAACCTGCTCCTACTAGGAGGGTGGGGCTTGGGTACTTGTACCCCGACTTTACAGTTCCCCCGGCCCAAAGCTCTAAACCCTAAAGCCCAAACTCCCCAAACTCCCTAAACCCCAAACTCCCTAAACCCTAAACTCCCTAAACCCTAAACTCCCTAAACCCCAAACACCCTAAACCCTAGGAAACTTGAGCTGGTGCGTTACTGGCTCCGACGCTACCTCCGTGCTCAACGCTTTCATGCAAAAGCCTGGGCTGTTGACCTTCCTACCTCTTGCGGCGTGCCCGGGCATTCAGTAAGCTAGTGCTTACAGTAACAGTATTACTGTTACTGCTATACCATTGCTGCTACTGCTGCTACTACTACGACTACTGCTACTACAACAACAACAACAACAACAACTATTACCACTACTACCACCACTACTACTACCACTACTAGTACTGCTACTTCTAGTGCCACTGCCACGGCCACTGCCACGGCCACTGCCTGCCGACTGCTACTGCTACTGCTACTGCTACTGCTACTGCTACTGCTACTGCTACTGCTACTGCTACTGCTACTGCTACTGCTACTGCTACCGCTACTGCTACCGCTACCGCTACCGCTACCGCTACTGCTACTGCTACAGCTACTGCTGCTACCACGACGGGGGCCAGTGGCGGTGGTGGCTACCGCTACTGCTACCGCTACTGCTACCGCTGCTGCTACTGCTGCTGCTACCGCTGCTGCTACCGCTACTGCTACCGCTACTGGTACCACTACTGCTACCGCTGCTGCTACCGCTACTGCTACCGCTACTGCTACCGCTACTTACTGCTACTGCTACTGCTACCGCTGCGGCTACCGCTACTGCTACCGCTACCGCTACTGCTACTGCTACTGCTGCACTACTGCTACTGCTGCTACCGCGACGGCGGCAGCGGCGGTGGTGGCGGCGACGACGACGAGGACGGACGACGCCGACGACGACTACTACTGCTACTGCGACTGCTACTGCCACTACTGCCACTGCTACTACTGCCACTGCTGCTGCTTCTGCTACTGCTACTGCTACTACTACTACTACTACTGCTACTACTATTACTGCCACTACTACTACTACTACTACTACTACTACTACTCCTACTCCTACTCCTACTCCTACTCCTACTCCTACTCCTACTCCTACTCCTACTCCTACTCCTACTCCTACTACTACTCCTACTCCTACTCCTACTCCTACTACTACTACTACTACTACTACTACTACTACTACTACTACTACTATTATGATGATTATAATTATTATTACTGCCACTACTACGACTACTACTACGACGACGACTTCTACCATTTCTTGTGCAAAACTTGAGCATAATCCTCCAACAGTTCTGGCATTATACCTTGTTGCACCATGTGTTCACTCATATCTTACTTATAGCCTGAGGGTAATAGTTCTGGGTAAGCCTCCTAGACCAAAAACCCCAAAACCCCCAAACCCAAACCCCAAACCCTAAATCCCAAACCCTAAACCCCAAACCCTAAACCCCAAACCCCAAACCCCAAAAACCCAAACCCCAAAACCGTAAACTCCAAATCCTTGCACAGGTGCGTGGCAGTCTCAGCCGCTGCGTTCGCCTTTGTGCACTGGCCCGCTCCTAGGCGATGTACTTAAAGGCACAAGGGCCTTTCGAAGTAGGTCATAGCTAGCTTCGGGGTTTAGGGGACTTAGCAGATACAAAGAGATGTGGGTGTACGTGTAGTATACCAAAAAAAATCAGACACTGGAGGTCTTTTGAGTACACCTAACCTCTTTTGGTTTAGGTCATAAGTAGCTTGAGGGTTCAGGGCGCGAGCCCATCCAGTCCTGGTCTCCTCCTGAGGAGGCTTTAGGGCGTCAGGTTTGGGGCGTAGGACCGAGAGCCTAGGGTTTAGGGTTTCGGGGTTTGGGCTTTGGGGTTTAGGGGGTTCAGGGCTTCAGGTTTAGGGGTTTTCGGGTTTAGGCTTTGGGGAGCTTAGGGCCTATATGGATCAGGGTTAAAGGTTTACGGTGTTGAAGGTTTAGGCTTTTAAGGTTTGGGTTTAGGCTGTTAGGGCTCGGGGTGTATGGTTGAAGGTTCTGGGGCTGCGGATAGTACAGCATAATAGCATATGATATAACATACTATGATATAGTACAGAAACATTCAACATCGACTAGAATAAAGCATAATAGAGCATAGAAAGGCATCATAGAATGCAGAAGAGAAGAGCATTTTTTGTGGCGTGATTTGAGAACCAAGGAGTTTAACGGCCCTGTGTGACGACTCCTTCTTAGGATCAGCGGATGTGAGCAACCTTGCAGAGTGCAGCAGAGTGGAGTAGAGTAGAATAGAGTGGAGCCGAGCAGAGCAGAGGAGAGGACAACAAACATTGCATAACAGTGCAGCATGTCGGTCTCGCGCCTGGACTTGACCCGACCTGTCTGGCCTAAACCTTAAACCTAAAACTCTGAACCGTATCCGGACAAGCCCGAAACCCCAAACCCTGGACCCAGCATGGCCCAGGACCGCTGGTTGATGATTGGCACCGGCGTCATGGGGGTGCGCTGGGCTGTGGAGTATTCTGGTATTCCGGGATTTTATTTAGGGGTAAAAAAGTGGTCGCATACGCAAGCCACTCTCCTGAGCAACTCAATCTATAGTCCTTCAATCATGCGCAACACTAAATATGCCGACGGCTTATAGCCTAAAACAATAGACCTAAGCCCTACATCCTAAACCCTAACCCCTAAACCTTAAACCCGACACCCTCAACCCCAAATCCTATACAACCTAAACTCTAAACCCCTACACCCTGAACCGCAAAGCCTAAACCTTGCAGCCTTAGCTTGGATGAGCCTTCAGCTAAGGAATCTCCCACGGTAACAGCCGTGAGGAAAGGAGCCCTGAACCAAACAAAGAATTAAACCCTGAAACCTAAACCTTAAACCCCTAACAGGTGCCCTGGGCTGTGGAGTACTTGCTGCACCGCAATGTCCTGCCCTTGGGTCTCTACCATGGATACCTGGAGCCCAATTTTTGAAGGGTTTAGTCTTTAGGGTTGAGGGCCGAGTTTAGGGTTTAGGATTTTGGGTTTAGTGTTCAAGGCTTAGAGGTTTAGGGTTTAGGGATAGGTGCCGTAGTTATATTATGGGCTCTAAATCCTAGAGCCCTGTGCCCTCCAGCACCATTGGATTTGTGCGTACCCTCTTCCTATCCCCCCTTGACCCAGCTGAGGATTTCCGGGCACCCTTTTCTTACGCCCTGAATAGAGGCTTGTCCTGAATCCTATCCTAAAGCCCTAGTTGTCACCGCTTAACCACTTGAGGATTTCTGGGCACCCTCTTCTACTTCTGGTTTCTTGGTGGGGATCCCCTTAGCGGGATGTTCTGATTGAGCCCACCGAGCCAGCAAACCCCACAGGAGAGAAAAAGCTGCGCATGAGCTCTTTGGATGTCAGTCCATCGTTCCTAGAGAGCCCAATACCCCTTAATGAAGGAATATGGCTTCAATTTTATAGGGCTTCTTATCATGATTTAAGCTATATTCCTTAATTAAGGGGTATTGGGCTCTCTGGGTTCCTATGCATCACGGCTCTAGTCCAATGCTCTGTTGCTGTTGTCCAAGCCTGATCACCGAACTTACAACACCGCAATCAAGAGAAAGTATGGCTGTGCAAATGACTTGATGTACAGGTTGTGTCGCTAGCACGATCACAAGTAGGACTTGGCGCAAGCTCTTAGCGAAATTTGCTTACAGCTGTTGTCGTCGCGATCTTGGCACACGGGAGGGGCTTGTGTACTCGCAGCTTTCCCCTTAACCAAAAGCGCGCACATTCAACACTTGGAGGTTCGTGTATTTTCGCAGGTTGAAGCTAAGGGATGTTTAGGTCTTCCGTTTACAGTTTCAAGTTCTGCCAACAGTCGGATTTCGGGGGGGGGGGGGGGGGGGGGGGTGATTATACAAGGCTATCGGAGGCTGGTGCTGGGCATTCTTGATAATTCTGGCGGAGAATTTGGGCTGGGCTTCCTCCTCTTTAAAGGATTAGCTATTCATTACATAGACATAGACTTGCAGTAGGATCCTAGGTGAGGTGTTTGTGAATTCAGTGCATCCGGTTGGAGGAAGGGTCAAGGAGCCCCACGAATCAAGTGAGCCCGATGCTAAGCTTTGGAGGCTCAAGCGCAGCAAATTTGCTTGTGTTGATGGTTCAAGTCTTTTCATATATCTATGTCTATATATACATACACATGGTTTATATAGATATATATAGATACCTGTTTACATATATATGTATATATATATATATATATATGTGCATACACGTTCATATATATATATATATATATGTATACATATGTATGTATACATACATAGAGGTAGATAGAGAGTAGATAGAGATACAGATATGGAAACATCCTTCTTGGCCTACCCAAATCTGGTGTCGGAGCTTGAGCTCTCCGATGGGACCGGGAAGGCAGGAGGCCCAAGTGGGGGTCAATTCAGACCCCAAATAAAGGCCAAATGTGCCAGATTCTTCAGGGTTTAGGGTTTAGGGTGTAGATTCTTTAGGAAGGTGTAGATTTAGCCTTTATCATATCTGGAGATAAGGTTAAAAATATCTGGAGATAGGGTAAAATTAAATTTGCTCTTTCAAGCATCACGAGACTCTGCGCAAAGCTCGGACACGCATGCCAATGCCCCGCAAAATCATTTAATCCCGGACGTGGCAGAAGCTATGCAAACTACCCTAGGGTATACCTTAAACCCCTATAGATCCCTTATAGGAACCCTTTGAGGAACCCTTTAAAGTTTTGATCCTTTGAGTAAGCCCTAAACCCTAATCTCCATAGATCCCTTGAAGGAACCCTCAAAAATACCTTTAATAGTTGTTTAGGGTTTAGGGTTTAGGGTTTAGGGTTTAAGTAAACTCTGAGGTGTGGCAGGATCATGGCGGCCAAGCGGCTTCTGTTGAGCCTTGCGATCGAGACTTACTCGCAAGGCAAGCTGTGGGGTGCCATTTCTGCAGATATTCTTAAAGGATCGTGGGACTTAGTAATTTTAAAGGGTTCCTTAAAGGGTTCCAATAAGGGATCTATACGGGTTTATCGGACTTATAGGAGCATGGGACTTAGTAACCAGGGTTACAAATAAGGTAACTATACTTATACTTACTTATAATCCCAAGTAGGAGACTTATAACCTTACTTACTAAGTTCCCTGATCCTCCAAGTAGAACATAGGATTTCTCAGGCAGCTTCACACATGGCTTAGATGGCAACTTCTGCGCGTCTTTCCACAGAACTCCCTCGCCGACTATTAGCCGCGGCTAGCCCACTTCCGAAAGCGCTGAGTGCTGTGCAAGGTACACGGGTTGCCTTTCACAGCTCAGTGGGAGCTTGCATCCCTGAATCCCGATCCTCCTTATCGGGTTAGGGTCCCTAATTTATGGATTGTGTTATTGTTCTTCATTGTTATCATTATTACTATTATTATTGTTACTATTATTATTGTGATTATTATTATCCCCCGGATGGAAGTATTGTACGCCAAGCAGTCTGCCACGTGGCTGCAGGCGTGTTGCGTTCGCCGGAGTGGCAGGTGAAATTCGGGTCCGTCCCTAAGATGTCCTGCTCTCTTGGTTGAGTGGGGCTTGTTCATCAGAGATGCATGCTGCAGTTCTGAGAAGATGGCCAGGCAAGAGAACCCAACATCCGTGGGGTTTATTCGTTTGCAAGCCATGCCTGCTTAGGTCATGTGCTGTTCGAGAAGATGGCTGCATCGCCAGCACAGAATACCCAGAGCATCACGATAATGATCGTCACAACTCCTGCCTCATGTATTTTGAAAGTGGGGGCAGGCTCGCACAGCAGAAATATGCCGCCTGTCAGTGTCATTGTTGCATGCGCCAGCCTTGACAATCTCAGCATTCTGAGCGCGTCATTCAGCATAGCATGCTCCAGAGTCTTGCTGTCGCGGAGGCCTGTTTTCATTGAGATATCCGCCCTCTCGCCAAAAGACGGCACAGAGGCTGTTCAATGTGGTTCGTTGGTTTGCGGAGTGACAGCATTTCCGCAAAATAGCATGCCACCCGCCTTCGGAGCTCCCAGTTTCAACGCAATTGTCATCGATCATCGTGGTACGGTTTCCCGGTAAAGCCATTGCGACCCGTACCCTCGTCAGCAGTGGAGTGGCGTGGCCACTCATGTGAATTGCAACAGCCCTTTACCCTTCACCCTGAAACCTTCAAGAACCAACAGCTTGGCCGGGAGGGCTGGAAGCTCTGCCTGCGGGAGGCGGGGCCTCTTCTTGGGCTTTTATTTTGCAGGGTTTAGGGCTTCGTGTTTAGGGTCCTGGGTTTAAGATTTCGTCGGCTTTCGATTCCGTATTCTCAGATCTCAGTATCTTTGGAGCTTTACGTGCCTTTAGGTTGATTGCCCCAAACGCCAAACCCTGCAAACTCTACTACAGGCAAAACCCTCTATAAGCCCCAAACCCGATCTGCTGAGCTTGTTTGGTCCAGAAGCTATGGCAACGTCGGCATATGCTTTGCAGAGCGCCGAAAAGCGGATGACTCTTCCCCTAAACCCTAAACCCCTAAGCCCCTAAACTCCTAAACCCCTAAACCCCCAAAACCCCTAAACCCCTAAAACCCCAAAACCCCTAAACCCCTAAACCCCAAAACCCCCAAAACCCCTAAACCCCTAAAACCCCTAAACCCCTAAACCCTAAAACCCCTGAACCCCACCCCTAAACCCCTAAACCCTACTTGAAGGCTCATGAGACTTAGTAAGTAAGGTTATAAGTAGATTATAATTAGGATAACCCCACTTAAGGGACTTATAACCCCAGTTATAACCTACTTACTAAGTCCCATGATCCTCTAAGTAGGGTCCTGGTCTTTAAGCGCGCCGCCTTATAGAGCCCTTATAGAACCCTTATGGGTCCCTTTAAAGGAACCCCATTTCGCCCTCCCGGAAAACACTCCGGGGAGGAAGCGGAAGCTCGTTGGGCGCAGCCCGGGCCTGGTGGCTCTTTTTGGGAGATTGCCTCCGGGCCGCTGCCCCAGTGGGTTAGGGTTTAGGGTTTAGGGCTTAGGGTTTAGGGACTTCGTAAGGGTTCCTTTTAAGGGCTCCTTAAAAGGATTTATATAGGATTCCTTCAAGGGATCTATAGGGTTTAGGGTACTACTTGGAGGATCAGGGGACTTAGGAAGTAAGGTTATAAGTCCCTTAATTGGAGTTATAAGCAATAAAAAGTATAGGTGCCCTATTTGTAACCTTAGTTACTAAGTCCCATGATCTTTCAAGTGGCCTGAAACATCCTTTGGTTTAAGGGTTAAGGGGTTTTAGGGGCTTTTAGGGGCTTTGAAGTTTAGGGGGTTTTAGGGGTTTAGGGGCTTTAGGCTTTTAGTGGCTTTAGGGTTTTAGGGGTTTAGGGTTTGAAGGTTTAGGGGTTTCAGGGTTTTAGAGGGTTTAGGGCTCCAGAGCATTTGCATTTTCACCGAGGCCGTGCGCTGTTGGAGATGGTTGCATCGTGAACACGCTCCCGCGTCGGCTTATGGCCGACGACACCTGTGTTGTCAGAGTCAGGCGTGGATGGTACCTGTAGACAATACCTTTCAGAGTTTCAGATCAGACATGTTTGTAATCGCACGACGGAGAGATGCTTGGATCCAGCTCCATAGCTCTCTCAAGATCACTGGTGCAGCTTTTGGAGAACCTAAACCCTAAAGCCTAAGCCCTGCAAAACTGAGAGTGGGTGTCACATGCAACGTGAACCGCCGCATGCAGGAAATCCATGGAGATCCTGGCCTTCTTGAAGCCAGGGCACCTGGAGGAGGCGCTGGAAGGGTAGAGGATTTAGGGGTCTAGGGTTTAGAGGCTTTGGGTTTAGGGTGTAGGAGTGTAGGATTTAGGGTCTAGGAGACCTTCGTTTCGAAGAGCCACGAGTACCCTCCCTCCAAGAAGGGGATGTCGGTGTTGTCCCTGAGCTCCCTGGACGGGCCATTTGACCGTCGAAGATGACACTGCGTTGCCCTGTATGAGAGCGTTGCTAGCCTATCCGAAGGCAGAATACTTGGCCATTATTTTTCTATTCGTTTGTTTTCAGATTATGCTGTAGGCGCATATGGCGCAGACGCGCATTGCGACGTAAAGAGCGTCGTACAAATGAAATGTAGATGTTGACAGATCTGTGTGTGCATGTGCGTGTGTGTGTGTGTGTGTGTCTCTGTGTGTGTGTGTGCGCGCATGCCCGTGTACCTATTGAATGGTACATGTCTTCAATCATGCACGTGCGAATGCAATGTATATGTACTTGTGTGTGTACATGACTGTCTAGGCCTGTAGGCTTGCATGTATGTAGGTTGCATGTGCTTCTCACTTCTGCAT